CTCAGTTTGTGTAAAGTGTAATGCCTTCTAGTTGAGTACTCTTGTGATAAAATGTAGTTTGAGAGTGGGAACATGTAGGTTACCATTTTGCCAAGAGTTACAATTACTACTACTTCAGAATTGAGTGTGAGTGAGTACTACTTTAGAGTGAAAGTGTCTTTTGTTTCCCACAAGAATCTTATCTATTGAAGAGCACTATTTCAATTAGAGTAAAACTTCAAATTGAGAGCATAAGCTAGCAAGAAATGTACTTGTAGTCCAAAACACTTGTAAATCAAAGTTAATTTTCCCTTAAGAAATAATTGAAATGCTGATGATTTGTTCACAACACAAAATTATTTACTCTTATACAATGATTAATACAAAACTCTCTACGCTTTGTAGCCAATAAATACACATTGCTGTACCTCCAGTGAGGGCATAAAATGCTTTATGCATCACAATGTTTGTATGTGTATTGTCTGTTTGTATGTACATTGACTGCACAACCAAGGAATGCCAACTAAAATTTAGTGTTTGAGGAAATTGATGAATGCACTATTCAACTGCGATGTATGAGGGAGGGGAAAACTGTCTCAATTGTGAATATGTGACACTCAACAGTTCTACTTCTATTTTTTTTGCATTGCCAAAGAATCATCAATGATATATATTTTTCAAGTTAAAATTCCCTTAAAATGTTTGCCCATATTGTATATTGCAGACAAAGTTGTTTGCAATCCAAGGTTCTGCTGTTAATACAAGTATGATAGAGGTAAGATGATCAGTCTTTTGAACAAATGTTTCCAAGATTCCATTTTATGAATGCTGGTTATTATTCGCTATATTATTTTTTGTATAATAAATGTGTAAGCACTGTCGGGGCTATTTCCCCAGAATAGCATTCCATATTTGAGATGCGAGTGTGTTTGGAATATTCATTGTTCTTAGCAAGATTTGTTGACCTTGTTAAAATCTTAAATGTGAGCATTCCACTTTAGGTTTTCGTGGATTATTAGACCAAGGAGTTATTGTTGTGCAGTTATTATTGATGAACAAGTATGATAGAGAGTTTTCTTTGGATTGAAGATTTATGAAATTTGGAATGTCTTCAAAATTAATTTTTGTTTTCGTGTAGGTATTGCATAACTTGAATTTCATTATTCTCCTATAATATTTTCATTATTAATTTCTTAATTTGTTTATTTCTCTGTTTTTTCAGACAAACATTTACTTACATGTGTGCTTTTTTCCTTCCCAGAATAACGCTACACTAAAAGTATTTCAGAATTATTTGTGTGCCTTAATTTTGTTGAAAATTTTATTTATTTTGTATGAGAATCACTTACTATTCTGTCAGTTGTTTGATACCATTAAGACATCGTACAAGGTTTTTACATTGTAGTTTACATGTAGTGTTATAAAAAAGGTAAAGTTTAATTTTTTTGTTAATTGTGACAAAAAAGATTTAATTCTTTTTTAGAAATTACTACTATTATCTATACTTGGGTATTGAAGCTATTCAATGTTCTTTTAATTGTTGTTTTTCCAACTTGGAAATGCACATTTTGGTTCATTTTGCTGCGGTTTTGAATGGCAATGATTTCAAATAAGTTTTAATCTTACCATGTACTTTTCAAAATTGTGTTTTGTGTCATTGTTTTAAAAAGTTGAGTTTTCAGTGAGTGAATTCTTTGCTTCATCACTCAAAACTGTACTTTGATGTCAAAAGATGCATCTCTTTAGGAAATATTGAAATTTCTTTTTTCCTTGTCTTTCGTTGCTCCTTTAGGGAATTTTGATTCACTACCCTCTAAAATATCATACTAAATGTATTGTTGATCTACAACAATATTAAAGTGAAAACTGAAGAGAGAAAAAACAACTTGAATTTATCAATTCAATATATTCTTTGTGACTTCTGTGTAAACTGTCATATAATTATGTCAAATTAATTTTAAAAAAAGTCAATGTCATAATAAAAAAAATAATGTTTATATTGATTAACAATAATACACGAGTGCTGGATTTTGAATTCGTATGTTCTTTATTCTTAATGTTTCGATTATCTGTATGTGCTTGTCTTCAGGAGGATCTATAAAGTTACAGCATTACCATTATTATATTTTACATGCCATTTTTCATTAAATATGATGAATCTAATATAGAAATGAATGATGAAGAGAAACATTTTATGTTCATCTAATTTATATATTTAGTGAAAAATGGCATTTTCACAATTGTAATGTTGTAACTTAATAGAACCTCCTGAACGTGAACACATACAGATTCTCAAAACGTTGAGAATAAAGAATATGCAAAATCTGGCACGCATGTATTCTTGTTAATCATTATAAACATTGACCTTTATATAAATTAATTAGACATAATTATACGATTGCATTTGTCTTCTTATCTGATAGGGTACTGGAATGTGAAATCATTTTTCTGGTGCAGATTTTTTGTGTAAGCAAATTTATCTTACTCTGAAAATATTTGTACTTTTGCTAAGGTATGCAGAGTGTGCATTTATTAGTGGATGATTTACAGGAAATATTATTTGATACTAATTTGATAGTGCTTACCACACTGATATGCCATGGTCCATCAGTGAGCAAAATAAGCTTGGAAAGCAATATCAATATTGATGCCAGTCATGAAAACGAGAGCATATTCCACAGCTGGGGTCAGTAACAACTTGGCTGTCTGGGAGACTCCGCGATCTACGCACAGGTGCCAACATTTCATCTGCCATTCTGTGACTTTTCTGAGGGTGAAATGCATTTTGTCCTGAGCAACACAACATCTCTCAGATAGCCAAGTAGTTACAGCCATGAAAACATCCATTGTTTTAAAGAAACTAAATTTACTGCAAGTTACTGTTCCTTGCTTAGACTAAGGGTAAGGGATGTAAAATATAACAAAATTTTCTCTGATTTATGTGTACATAAATTCTTGTTCATGTCTTTATAACCAATTTCACATACTTTTAAAAATTATTCAAGTTTGGAATTATGACATCACTTACTGCATGTTGAAACAATTTGTTAGAATTAAAAAGTTTTTGAGCATTGGCTACTTGTTTCTAAAAGTAAGATGAAAATGTTTATTGATATTACAAGAAAGATGATGACAAAAATATTGACACCGACAATGATGATATGATACTTAGAAAATAATTAGTGCCAAGGAAATCTAGATTATTGATAAGTATTTGGTGTTGAGTATCTTGTTATGAACAAAGTGAATCATTTTAAAATAAGCAGACTGTTATTCAAAATATTCATATTTTATATCTCTATATTTTGAAAACTAGGGTTACAGATTCGTATCCAAAACTATTTTCATATTTTGTAATTGTAATTTGTATAGTGAAGGCAAACCATTTCATTTTGCACGGTCATTATTCATTCACATTTCAACTCATTCATTATTTTATAGTTGCTCAGGAAAACAAACTATCTGTTATCTGTACTTGCTCATCTTGTAAGGGATATGGCACCAAAAGAAGATATGTGAAAGGCAACTAACCTTCTCACATTCTTGATTTTCCTTTTTGCACATTTGTCCTACATTCATATAGATCTACGCAGTTCTTCACTTCTGCAATCGTTAATTAAAGGATAAATTAGACATAATAGTTCCATATATATAGATACTGGGTAATTACCTTATTTAAGATGTTCATTTCATTTGCTGGTTAAAATAATACAGAAATGTAGTAAGAGAAAATGTTTTTCATAGGGGAATTGACAATTAGTGAAGGGTAATTGACAATGTTCTTTTCATTCAAAATATGGCTTTACGTATTGTAGTAACTGCATCTCCTATTGTAATTAAGGTAATTTGGAAGTAACGTGTAGCAAAACATGCATATTGATGGCTTTGTGGTTTTACAAACATTTTGTTTAAATTTATATGGTTATTGTTTATGTAGAAGTAGTTGTAGTATAAGTAGCTGTGATAATGCTTTTTTCATTATTGTTATTACAACTTCTACCATTACTTTGTTTACTATTTTTGTTTGTTATTTGCAAGAGTAATTTTATCTTCATAGCTTTATAAATTGTTGATTGGTTGAGTTGTGAGTTTGTTGTTTTTTGTTCATTTTCGAAATATACAGGTGTCCCTTAATTATACCAGCAAAAAGCAGGTAAAATTATAGCTGTTCATGGAAGTGTGACACAATCATTTTTCTAGCGAAAATGTACATTTTCAAGAAAAGTTGACCTCTTTCCTACTTTCAGGTGTGCAATTTGCATTCTCTACACAGCAAAGGCACCACAGCCACGCCATGTTGAGGGGGTAGAAGAAGGATTGTTGAGATTGGCAGTAGTAAGCCTGGCATTGTGGCAGGTCGACTTTCCTACTTTGAGTTGCTAGATTCCCTTGGTTACTAGGCCACACTGTGACTTATCACTGCCATCCTCATCTTTCTTCTTCCCTCAGCTCAGTGCAGTTGCTGTACGTGTCTCAGTGCAGCACTGAATATTTGAATTGTGCTCTTGGAAGCACCTAGGAAACAAACATTCCAATATTCCTCAAATAATGAGGAGTGTCTGCATGATTTTTGTTAGAATAATGAAGGGGCATTCTGTGTGTGTGCAATCGTACAGTGTGTTTCTGTTTAAATGTTACAAACTTTTAGGGCATGAAGTTGGATGGATGGGTGGGGATGAAGATGCCATTTCTTTTGCCATTGAGCATATTGTGGGAAACTTCATATAACAAAGTTATACTTGTGACATTTACTCTGTGATTGTGAGGCTTGACTTGCATATGGCTTGTGGATAATGAGTTGCAGGTTCCTGTCAATCAGAAAAAATGTCACTGTGTAACTTTGTTGTATGAAATTTCTCACCATATGCTCATTGGCAAAAAGTTATTATCTTGGACCCCTACATACCCTGGAAGTGTGAAACATTTATTCTGAGACATTCTATGAATAATAGTGGATCACAGCATTGAAAACAATTATAATGTCTTGTATCTAAGCTATCTTTTTTTGTTAATTGTTGTAGGAGAGGGAGCTGAAACGTCAGCAAGCAGTCCTCATTAAAGAACAAGTAAGTATCTGGAACTGCTAACAGTTATGAATTTAACATCCACTTATTTTACTGACTGGAAATAGGGGTATTTCCCTTAACCAACACCAGATATGTATCGAGTACTGTAAAGAATTTTTAAATTCTGTGAAGTTTTCTGAAGTACCAGTTCATGTGAATAAAATACCATTTCATATATTAGCAGCATTGCAATAGTATCTGGGACATTCTCTTTGGGTATATTTTCAATTCAGTTTAAAACGTTTGATGAGAAAGCAATTTAAATGACATGTTTAAGATCAATGACAATTCACTTATTTACAATTTTCATGTATTAAAAAAGTATGTAGAGCATAAAATCCATTGTATTCAGTTAAATGTACATTTTTCAAATTTCAATTAAAATTGTATTATAGTTTCAAAATATTTCAGTGAAGCTTTTTCTTCTCTTGAAAAACAAATAAAAAATGATAATGGACATAGTGTACAAAAGATTTCAGCATTTTAGAAATTTGCGATACAATACATTGTGAAGTTTAGGAAAAACATTATTATAATTGTTTACAAGTTAGGCCACCTTTAGACAATTTCCGTTCTCCCGATCCTAGATCATTCTTATGATTGTTACTTATTTGAGTGTTACCATCTGAATAAATTTTTGATTTATCTAATAATTAAATTAAATAAACTATGACAGTATGATAATTTTCTGAATCAATAAAAATTCCAAATCTGCTAATATTTGGGAGTATTAAAATCACGAATATTTGAATGGATGAAAACCAGAACGGTATAAGTGACATTTTATAAATTCTGAGAAATCTTGTTTATTTAAGTCAATATCACTGTAAAGTCACGGTGCTTTATTTCATCATTAAAACATTAACATAGCCTAAAATGAGCACATTTTTCTCAGAATTTACAAAATGTCACTTCTACTGTTCTGGTTTTCACCCATTCATATTTTTGTATTGGCTGTCCAAGTGTTACCATGTTGATAATTTTTATAGCAGTGCTTTTCATGGCCAACTGATTTGAGAATTGATGTACTATTAATGTGCAGACCTCGGCAAGGTCTTTAAAGTGATAGCTGTAACTTTTATAACAGGGTACCACCTGAATCCATGACATTTGGCTTGGTAAGGTCAGTCTGTGAAGCAGATGGTTCCTCTTAAGCAGATGTCATAAAGTACCTATCTGTGTAATTTGCACTCTGTGTGAATGTGGCATATGTCTTTTTTCGTAGATTTGTGTCTCTTGAAAAGACTATTATTAATTTCCAGAAGAGCATTTACAAACATTTTGTTAGGTGCAGATATTTGTTTCACCATTTACAGAAAATATCACTTCTATGTTGTACTGTGGTTAATCATTAATGTTGGCTCTGTATCTTCATTTCAGTATACTGTAAGGTGCACAGTAGGAGCCATCATGGCTTTTTTGGTAGGGTGAATAACTACTGACTGGACACCTGAGGTTCAAACTCAGTTGGGTATGAGGATTTTCTTCACCCAGATTGTCCAGAATAGCTCTCAGGTTCACTCAACCTGCTTTCTAATGAGTACAAGGATTATATTTAGGGTTCAGGAAGCCAGAATTGTAAGCTATAACACATTGCAGTGCTGAGGTATAGTATTTGTGGGATTCTACCTCTATAATCCATTGGGGCTGTCAGAACATGAAGGAATGCTTATCTGCACTACAATTCTTAATCATTTGAATTTAGGTTCTAGTATTTCATTTTCATTTATTATGTTTTTGCTCATGTAATTCTTTTCTTTTTGTCTAAAACCTGAATTGTTTCTTCTTGTTGGAAAAACTTAGCGTCAAAATATTCCATTGTCTTTTGTTATACATTGTTTTTTAGTTACGTGCTTTTGTTATTTTCGAAACCTTTCCCATTTTATGCAGTAAAGAAAGTAGTAGTATGTGCACCAAAAAGTTTAATAGGAAATAATAATTAGAAATGAAAATCATCCTATAAATACTCTTCATTAGTAAATTTTAATTGAAAATCATTATTCATGTTCTTACTTGATCTCATTCAGTATTCAATAACAAGTCTAAAAGACAATTTAGAGATATGTACACAAGTTCACAGGGGAGAGTCATAGTCTGCAAACTTTCTTTATTATAACCCTATGACCCAGTCTTAATTCTTTCACTCTCTTCAATTGCTTCATTTTATACTTTCATAACATGATGATATTGCCATACGGTTCTGAACGAATAAAATTGTTGAACGTTTATATAATCAGATAAAAGCATTCTTAATTTCATTTTTAAACATATTGAAAGCAAACATGTTATTGCTGTGTTATAGTAATTGGTATAAATCCAAAAGATTTTTATAATTTTCACAAATTGTCCATTTGAAATTAAAAGTGCGTTAATGTTTCTGAAAGTGGGCTGTGCCATCTTAATTTATTTAAATTTTTATTTAAAAACTTAATTTATTGTAAATTTTTCAGGCTAATAACAATAATTTAAAGTAATCCACCGAACAACTAGTGACAAGATTCTTTTGACTACCGTTCGTATGATGAATGAATAATATTTGAGACCAATATTACAAGTATGTGTGCAACATCTTGATTTCATTGTTACAATTAAATTGTTATTATTACATCCAAGTTAACTGAATCATAGAATCCTTTTGATTCCCTTGATAGGAGTGAACAGTGTTCTTATGTTCAGTTAATGATACAACTAGATTTCTGTGCTCCCCTCTTTGAGCAAGAAATGGTCTCTTTGCAAATTGAAAAATTAATTGGTTAGCTTTGCATTTCCGTAATAATCAGCTTTGTGATTAGGTTACCTTCTATAAGGGCATCAATGTTTTCGTGCCCCTGAAATTGTGAATTATTATAAAGTAAAAATGCATGCCCATAAATTGATTTTGTTCCACTTTCTTAGTAAATTTTTGTGTTTAGGATTTAAAAAGGATTTCTGTAAACATTACTTAGCTCTTTATCTTTGTTGTTTTGTCCGTATTTGTTTAATTATTGCTTTTTATTTATGCAATTGCATGCTTGTTATTCAGTCATGCACTTCCATTCTTCTCTAAGTATCTGTGCTTGCAGAACAAACACTTAGTATTTCTACAGATGTATTACAAACATTTGAGTTTGTGTATGTTAATATATTTTAGTAACATTGTGTTTGAAACTCCAACTTTTTTGGAAGTTTTCAGTGAAATGGAAATAAATTCTGATTATATTTGTTTTATAATCATCAATCTTTGACACCAGTGATCCATTTGCATGTATATTACAAAGCTTGCTCTATGGATAATAGTGGTCAATTTGAAAGTTGCCAACAGATAAATATGATTGACCACAGTACATATGTTACCATGTCTAGCTGCAATGTTTTGAAATGTACTTCCATTTTCCTGGTTATAATGAGCATTTCAAAATTTCACATTCTCTTCTCTTCCAAAGCTGTGTTTACTAATGTTGATGCATTGCTTTTGTAGCACTATAGTTGGCTTGTGGCCAATCTTATTGTGCTTGTTTTGTTTTTTTGTTTTGTTTTACTTTAGAGTTAATTTTAATGTATTTCACTTACATGTATTTTGTATGCTTATTTTTGTTTTATGTTTCTGGTCCTGGTATTGGTAATTTGTAAAGACTGTATTGAGATATGAGCATTGGTCGGGACTGCTTCCTTTAATCTTATTTATTAATTTCTGTGATTTGATTTTTTGTTCTAATTATGTATAGTTCAGTATTTCCATTTTTTTTTGTATGCCATTCAGTACAGACTGAAAGTAGAAGTGATTTCTTTAATGAAGATATGCAAAATTAGTTCATACTTTCAATACATTCCAACCCTTGCTCATTTCTTATAGTGTCAAAATAGTACAGTGTGTTGCTGTTGCCTGATGATTTTGTTTCATTTTCCCTCAACATTGAAAGTCTTTTTATTTATATATATANTATATATATATATATATACATTTTATATTATATTTAAAAAAAAATTATCAGGCAATGGATCTTAATGTGATATGTGTGTTATCACTTTCATTCAGCCACTTCATTTTAAGGTAGGCACTTCAAAATTACAAAGTCAAATAAAAAAAGCGATAAAAAACAGTTATTATATGAAAAGATAATGCAAACAAGATGATATAATTTTTTTTATTAATGTCAAGTTATGTGTAGCTCTTATGTCATTAATTATACTTTGCTTACTTGTTCCTCCTTTATGAACTTAGTGTAAAATACATCAAAAAAGCAATGAGCAAATTATAAGGGTAAAAATTCAATTTTTCTTAATTTGTAGACATCACAACACTGTGTAATAATTTTCTAATTATTCATGAAATATATTTTAAAGTGGTAGCTGTAAAGAATGTGATGACACAAGTATCACTGACATTCATATATTGAAAGGACAAACAATAGTGTGAGCTATATGGGCAAGGTTTAGTGAAACCAAGTTCTAATGCTCATAATCACTTATTTTTTTGTTTGTTTTATTTGGTTTCTTTGTCTGTTTGTTTGAATTGTGCATCCTGGCTTTCCTTAAATATCCTCTCATTTTCCAATTCTTTCGTGATCTTTCACTTTTGGGATACATTTAAAATTAAAGAACCTAAAGGTTGTGGTCATAAATTGTATATAGCAGAAGGAAGTTGCGTCTTTTAAACAGAAATTACTGTATTTAATCTTGTACATATTAGCATGTAGCTTTGTCTGTATTTGCATTTCATATGTGGGTCAATGCATTACTTGGCATGTTTAGAATTACTTAAAAACATGCACATTATATTTAATTATGGCATGTTCATTTAGATCATATCTTCTTTTATGATATATCATGAGAAACTAAGTGATGATTAAAATTTTATTGCCAAGACATAATTATTAACAATAGTAAAAAATTCATACTTATATCTTTTTATTGTGATTTGAATACGTAGTGATCAACTTATATTTTCTGCTCAATGATACTGAAATACTATATTCGGCAATTAGAAATAGAGAGCTGTAGTTTATAAATACATGTTTTTATTGCAATAATGATGAAGTTATAAACTGCTCTGAAAGCATATAACCATTTCACTCACTGTTTAACTCCATGCTATTTGGTTTCCCCTTACTATTAGAAATGCACATGAAATTATTATCATAAAGTTATAGTTAACAAAAATGAATGTAAGAAGGGCAATTAATATGGATCTTATCAAAGGTAGTAAATATTTGAATTGTCTCTCATAGAAGGGTATTCTGTTAAATATACACTATTTTGCTACAGACAAGTTGATATTTTAAATTATTGTAAATATATGTATTGCAACTGGATTATTTCTAAAAGTTTTTCAGAAGAAACCAAGATTCCAATTTCAGAAAGAAATCAGCTATTTTAATATTTTGATTTCCTTATATTATTATATTAAAATTATTATATATTATATTAAAATACCCACATACATTACCCACCATCTTTCCTGAAATGTAGATGCAGTGTTAATCATATCTTTGAAGTCTTAGTATTAGTTTGTAATCCCTTCTGCATCAGGGAGGTATTATAGGTATTGTACATAAAAACACCCTCTTCTCTTAGTGTTAAACATTTTTTCTATTTCTGTAGTTTTCCTCTTGTGTCTGTTATCCTTTCCTAATCATAAAATTCCTGGTCTTAATTTATTTCCTTTTGAATGTACCTGCTGTTCCTGTAATTCTGTAGTGTCCATGCATTTACCCAAAACCTGTAGCCATGGAGCGCTCCTGAGCTGCTGTGTGGAGAGCTGCCCGTGTGACCTTGTTTTTTTCTGTTCTTCTCCTTCATGCGGTGCAGCTTTACATGCAGGAACTGAACAAGCAGCGCGAGATGCTGTACACAGTGGAGTTGGTATGTCTTACCGCCCGCACTCTTTTGACTCATTCACTAGTCCACTCAGAACAAAGAATTCAAAAGGAGCTTTGAGTTGTGCATGGCTAAGTGGTGTAAAATTGATATTCTGCTTGCCCATGTTGATTCTCTTTCACAGGAGTTTATAGAGGCTTAATGCAAATGAATTGATGTAGTTCTTTTGTTTACATCATAGCTTTGAATGGACAGAGTTTTTATTTCTATATAAGAACATATGCTTTTTCAGTTTCATGACATTTTTTATAATGATTCCTTTTAAAACTTGCTATATGATCGACCTTATAAGTTGATTTGCTGTAGTAAATCATGAAATGTACTTGCACAGAATTCTATTAAATTTGCAACTCAAGGCTCTCATTACATGGCCACTGGATTCTCTTTTCTCTGCATGAATAAACTTTACTATTCTAGAAAAATTGATGTGGGAGACATTGGTAGTAAGTACATGAATTTTGATTTTTAAAACATATTGTTTTCTCCTAATGGGTTATAAATTGTGACAAGATAATATTTGTATATTTTATTTATGCTGAAAAATATGTGGTTCTACACTTCTTTTTTTGTTTACTTTGTCATAGAAATTACAACTTTCAAATATTAAAACTTTTCCTTGTAATAGCTAAAAATAAAACTTAAATGATTTATGAAGTGGAAGGAATTGTAACAGATGTTATTCATTTATAGTTCTGCATTGATTACAGTTTTTTCCTTGCTTGAAAATTATAAAATGAAGTGGGG